GAGAGAGAGAGAGAGAGAGAGAGAGAGAGAGAGAGAGAGAGAGAGACAACAAAAAAACTTTGTTGATGAAATTTCTATTATCTTGAAGAAAATCATGTTATTTGATGAAAGAATACTGTTGAAATAGTATTTTTCAAAAGTTTTTTAATATTTGCTAATTCGATTTGTTTGATTTGGATTTCTTTGGATTTATTTTAAACTTTTTTTATTTAGATTAACCATTATAATAATTTGTTAAAAATCTAAAATCAATTATGAATTTGCTGATATACGTTCCCAAAAACAAATATCCAAAATAAATTTTGGGACACCTTAGAGATATGTGCAAGAAGTAAGATATCTTTTAGATGTTTCTAGGATGTCTTTGGAATATTTGTGTTGTATAGGTTATATCAGTTGATCTGTTCTTTGTAGCTGCACTGCTGAACTGATGTATACTGTAGCAATAAGTTAGAGTAAGAAAAAATATACTTAAGTCTGTTTCTTTTTAACTAAACTACCTGAATTGCTGCAGACTGGTGTAATAAGTTAGAGTAAAACAAAATATATTTGTCTCACCCTAACTTATTGTATCAAAAAATGAATATAAATATTATAAAAAGAACAGATCTAATATCCGTCAATAAATATGTTACAATGTATTACTATGTGATAAGAATATATTATATAAACACAAGTTGTAAAAACATAGAAGCATTCCCAATGAAAAATTTTTCATACATAATTATATAAAATTATATATAATTTTACATTATTATATATGTATAAAATTTGTCCATACATGTTAATACATGTTACTTATATATAATCATGTATTATTATATCTATAATTTCATATATAATTTTACATAATTACGCATATAATTATATGTAATTATACATATAATTATACATAATTGTGTATAATTATATATAATTTTATATGATTATATATAATTAGATATAATTACGGACAAAGTTTATATATAGTTATGCATGAAAAATTTTTCATCAGGTTAGTATCGCCACGTGCCGCTCGATCGTCAAAATCGAGCAACATTTTGGGTAGGAGATAAATGACCGGGTTGCTACTGAGGGAGAATATATGTGAACGTTTGGAGTATGTATGATAATCTTCAGTTTTCTCAGCGGTCAGGTGAGACATGACAAAATTAGGAATAAATTTCTTTTTATAAAACATTTAACATTCTACCATAAACAGCACAGATCTGTACAGGATATCTTAAGAACATTCTGAAAACGTCTTTACGTCCTGAGAACATCCCCAGGATATTCCTTGCAGATCTTGTGTTGTCTGGGTAACGTTAATATAATGTTTGAATGCAGTCTGTAATTTTCTGTGTGTACTGTTACTCGATGTTTACTGGAGAAAATAGGTTCAACTAATCTTTTCAAAAAATGGATAAAATAGGTTCAACTAGTAGAAAATAAAAACGATTTTTGAATTAATATTAGGACTTAATTAATATTTTTAAGCAAAAGATACTCTAGTAGCACAGTTCATTGACATTACATTGGCTCAATATTGGTCACATTAGGCATACATTGGGTCAATATAGCCAATATATATATATAGTCAATATTGATTATAAATAAAACGTGTTGATTATAATAAATAAAACGGTGTTGGTTATAATAAATAAAACGTGTTAGTTATAAATAAATTTCCAATATTACACGATTGTACCAATATATATTGGGGATATATATACATTGAGCCAATATATAGTTAATATCGGTAACAAATAAATTGCTAATATTCGAAATTCTACATTGGCTATAAGGCGTCTACTTTACAATACTGGGTCAATATTGCGGACAAATTTGTAACCAATATTGCCCCAATGAACTGTGCTACTAGAATATATCGACGGGGACATTATTCGCAATGAGATATCGTAGAAATATCGTATTTTTACGAAAATCTTTCGTAGTTTCACTTACACTATACTAACCATATTACAGACAGGTTTCTGGAAACCGCTTTTTCGCGCAGCGAAAGACATCGTGGCCCGTGTTACAATGAAAAAAGAAGAAACTAGAGAAAAAAAGAGAGGCCGCAGTAGGCGCGAGAAATATGCAAACTCGACCGTCAGTTTTGTAGAAGATGCGCTCCTTTCAATTTCATTCGATCCTCCGATCGCACATTTTCACACGCACACACACACACACATATTCGGAGAGTCGTGTCGGAAGAATTCTTATCAGTCGAGCGCGCGATTCAATTCGAAAAGGGCGGTACTTGGATCGCGCTTCAAATTCCAGCTGCAGCCTGTTGCCGTTCTCGCGAGATCTCCGTACGTTGATCGCGGCGAATAATATCGCGGGCTACGGCGGTCGGGTATAACGAGACGACGAGTTGCAGCGTCCCACGGGTGCGACTCTTCCTTTATATATACCGCGAACGTTCACTTACATTTTTGCTGGCCTCTTCTCGGCGCGCTCTTCTCGGCGCGCCGGCTCGGATTGCGCAGCGCGCGATCGCGCATTGCGAACTCGCATGGGAACGTCGCTAACGGCTATCGCGGCCTGTCGCGTTGCGCGATGCGATCGATGATCGAATTTACGTCACGTCGTCGTCTCCTTTCTCGTTCGCGCGCGTCTCTGCAATTGCCAAAAGTTATCCCGTTATTCGCGCGCTCACGATGAAAAATCACGATAACGTCAAAGTGACGAATGATCAAAAAATTCACCTCTCAAACACGATTCAATCATTTCCTCGTTTCGATATCATCGTGATCTTCTGTTCTATCTGGATTCTCTTGCCAGGGGCTTCAGAAATATTCCAAGTAACCCAGGTAGTAACAGGAAAGTACGATTACATTGAACTGATGTCACAATGACTAAAACTCGCTTTTCAATCATAAGTCGATCATTTTTATTCTGACATTATTTGTGAAAATCTTCCATATTATTTCATTTAATTACACAAGACTTTGTAGAACATTCAGGGCTATTTATCTGAGTATGCATGGTACTAAATACTCGAATAACATTTATTTAATAAGTAAAGTTCTTTCAGAAATATATTCATTGAGTTACTTTCTAATTTATAGTCTTACGTTGTTACACAGTAAAAAAGAATATTCATGCATGTATAAAATAATAGATTGAGATTATGATGTTTCTAAATATCAGAGAGAAGAAGATAACATTATTATCAGAATAATTATGTTGTACTTTTTATGACAGGCTACTATAATATTTAAATAAAATTGTAATAATGTTGAAATCCAAGATTTTAAAATTCTAATAAAATGATTCTATCAAAAAATAATCGTATACTCTTTATTAGATTACTATAATATTCAAATAAAATTATAACAGTGTTATGAAATTCGAGACTTCAAAATTCTAATCAAATTATATAGTGTTATTTATATATGAAACAATGATTGTTAATTTGAGTGTATTCATTTCAAACAGATACTAATTTTTTTCTGTGTAGTAACTGATTTATACGCGGCTTTACAAATGTATATATTGTAATTATTGTATAATATATTCCCAGAAACACTAAAAGTAACATTATATCAGTGTTATAATTTTCTATTCAATAATATAATTGTTACATGCATAATATAATATATACAGCATTATATTTTCAGGTAGAATAAAAAATCATGATGACGTCAAAATAATAAGAAAATTACTAACAAAAAACTCGCTTTTTTTAAAATCATGATTGGATCATTTTCTCATTTTCACTTTAAAACGCCACCGGTGATTTTCTGCTTGAGTTTGCATTACCCAGTGGACAATTATAATATTAATATAATGTTACTGTTACTTAAGACTATGTATCACTAAACTATGTATCTTTCAATACTTCGTGTCGTCGTTGCAAGTTGATTTTCAATTAAGATTTCTTTTCCTGCCGTTACATCTTTCCGTGCAATCCTGACATTTTCCGCAGACTCGTGAACGACGTCTTCGTAGCGCGTATCGTGAGAAGAGTCAGACTTTTCAGCCGTTTTCTTTCGAGACGAGCTCTTATCTTCTCTTTATATGCCTGTGATTGCATTTGAGAACGTCATTCTGAAGAGTGATAATCTTTCTGTATAGTGTTCGACAACAGAATTACTGATACTTTCACTTTGTGCATGCACACACCACAACGCGGAAATTACGGTCGTTTAGCAATGTCGTCATGATCGAGGCGGAATCTACTGTTAGCCGTAAGAACTAACAATACCGCGCGATCTCGTCCGGACAAGTGTAAAATTAGCGATTGTAAGGGCTGATTGTTCCAACCTTTTGGTAAGTTATCTAACAATTAAATCATGTGTCTGTCTCTATCCAATTTGAAGAAAAAATGAAGGCAGACATATGATTTAACTATTCAAGTATCAAGTAGCGTATCAGATAGCTTAACTAACAGTTAAATCATATCTCAGACAGCACAAGATGTCCTGAAGACGTTCTTAGGACGTCCTGAGGACAAAGACATGTCCTCAGGATTTCCTCAGGATGTTCTCTGGATGTTCCTTGGATATCTGTACTGTTAGGGATGTCTTCGTTTTTTCTTCAAATTAGACAGACACACATTCCAGTAAACACAAAGTATCATCCATATTATAATCATATGATATATGTTCAATCAGCTCAATCATATGATATATTAAGTAACTATTACTTTGTTATATAACAAAGTAACAGTTATGTAATATACTACATGATTGAGCTGACATCGATGACTTTGTGTTTACTGGGATTATTTAACTATCAGGTAGCTTGCCAAGAAGTTGGAACAATCGGCTCTAAGTCGACTAAAAATCGAATGGAAAATTCGCTCGGTAAATTAGAATTTCACATGGAAAGCGTCCAATAATACATCTGTTTTTTTTTTAGTTAAACTATCTGAATTGGTGCACATTGATGCAATAAGTTAAAGTAAGACAAATATATTTTGTCTACTGAACAGATCTAATAATAAGGATGGCCCAAAAGTCTGTTACTATTTCGAATTTCCTACATAGAGAAAAAAACATTCCTGTTTTGAAAATATCTTTACTTTTGATACGTAAATCTTAAAATGAGATTACATATCGTTAAACGAAAGTTATTTGCATCAATATATTTGATCAAAGTGACAGGATTATGTTAAATAATTATTATTGATGTATTATGAATATTGATTATTAATGACGTATTATTGATGTTAGAGACTTTATTAAGGCGCCATGAAAACGTCATTTGACATCATAATGTTTGTTGGATATATAATACGACAAAAAAATATATATTCTTACTATTAAAAAATAATTTTCATGAATGGAAAGCATTGACTTGAGAATATGATACTTTTAAATGTCGGAAGAAGATTATCTTTAAAATAATCATATTTTACTTCTTATGAGGCTAATATAACATCCAAATAAAATTATAAATATAATAATTATTGTTGAAATTCAAAATTTTAAAATTCTAACAAAATTATATATCGTTGCTTATAAAAAGTTTATATTAGATATCGAACTTAATTTCTGGCTTAAAAACACATTTATTTCAATGACAAAATGAATGAATACATCAATCAAAATATTTTCCATCGTTTTCTAAAATTTTTTCTTATTTTTCAAAAGTCGAATTTCGCGTTGATAGAACTTCTTATCTTTTGAAGCAATCCAATCATTGACCTATTTTTGCACACCTTGGAAATTAGAGAAGTTTGTATCTTCAATTGCATCGATTAGAACAAGTGATAATCTGATGGAGCCAGGTCTGGGGAGAATAATCTGGGTGTGAGAGAACCTGTCAGTGCTTGTTGAACGATTCTTGCAACATGTAGCCGAATATTCCCAGACAGCACAAATGTCCAAAATCGAGTCATAAGTCTTTAGGACGTCTTTAAGACAATACCTTATAAACTTGTCTTAAAGATGTTTTAAAGATGTCTTATGACCCGATTTTGGACATTGTGCTGCCTGAGTTGTGTAAAAGAATGATTTTTCGTCGATTATTGGCGATTGATGGCCTTTTTTGCATCAATCCTTCGTTCAAACATTTTAATTTTTGTTGGTAACGGTCGGCTGTGACTGTTGCATTTGGTTTCAATACACTACGTCAATACAATACAGTTCATGATACACTACGTCTTCCTGATCCCATCAAATATATAGCATTATCTTGCGACCATGATTATTCCGTTTGGACGTCGAAGTTGATGGTTGGTTCGGGTTCACCCATGATTTTTTGTGTTTCGAATTATCGTAACAGATCCATTTTTCATCACCGATTACGATTCGCCACAAAAAATTCTTTTTTATGCCTTATAAGCAAAGAACTAGTGATGAAAAGACGATTAGAGATTACAGCATTAGTCAATTCGTGTGACATTTATTTTCCTTCTTTATGAATGCTTTCTTTGGCGTGTAAACATTTGGAAACACTTCTGTCGATGATATTTAATACTTCTGCCAATTCTTTGGTCGTTTGAAATGGATTTTCATTCAGTAATATTTGCAATTCGATATCTTCAAACTTTTTTGACTAACCTGGACGTTGTCTTTCACGCTGAAATTACCACTTTTAAATTGTTGAAACCATTCTTCGCGAGTTGTTTTCGATGCAGCAGCATCACCATAAGCTTCACTGAGCAATTGATGAGTTTCGGTTGGATTTTTTCTTCAAAACAAAGTAATGAAAAAACAATGTCGAAACAATTTTTTATCACATTATCACGTTCATTTTCTATCGAATAAAATGGGTCATTATGTACTGAATTTTATTGAGAAATGTCAAGCCTTCTTTTCAGTTGTCAAAGTCACAACATTCGTTGCTGATGCTATCTATTTGTGAAAGTCGAAAATTAAGTTTGGTATCTAATATAATATATGAGTCAATAATTATTAATTTTTGTATATTAGTTTTAAGTAAATATTAAATTTTTTGTGTAGGAGTTTAGTGCAATCTGCAAAGAGTTTTAAACATATATTACATATAAAAGCAATGTTATGAATTTTCCAAATCAGTAATCGATCTTTAGGTCACTCTGTATTTATAATAATAAATATTCACGAACACGTGCTTTTCTGCCAATAAATTGAAGAGTAAAATGTATTACATTATTTTATTCTATAATTATCTAATTGGCGTAAGTATATCAAATTATAAAAACAAGTGTATTCTTTAATTGGAGATAAGATTGTGGTATAATTATAAAGAATATACACGAAAGATATCGTAAATATTTTTAATTTTATACAATTTATAGATAATTTATTGATCTCTAGTTAATTAATATTACGTTTGATATTCCATCGCTTTTTGTTTGGCACGTGCTATGTCCTCTTCGCTAATCGTTGGTTTTAAACCACACGCTATCTCCTCTTCCCTAATAAACGCAAGCTTCTCCGCTTTTTCTGCAAAAAAATCTTTCTGCTGTGCTTTCAATTCTGCTTTGTAAGAGTCCAATTTTTCCTGCACGATTTTATCGCAGTATTTCTCCGTTAATCGTGTCAAAGATTCTTTCTTCGTAATTTGAGTAGGAGGCCTGACAAAAATCACAAAGCATTTTATAAAAAAAAAAAAAAGAATTATTTGGCATAAAATTCTAACAAAGTGTATGTAATTATATACTTTGTTGATATGTAATCATTTAGTAAACAACTAGCCCTTACTCAGGAAATGGTTTGTAAACAAGGTTCATTTTCTCCAAGACATATTCAAAACATCTGTAATCTTTCTTCCGCAAGCGCGCCAAAAGCGATCTTCTCTTGTCAATTAATTCTTTCAATGCAACTCTTATTTTGGAATTTTTGGGATACTTAATAAGAACTTCTCGCAGTACATATATTTTACCAGTTAAATAAGCAACTGAAAGGTTAAATAAATTTGAAGTAATAACAAAGTAAGTGCTACTTTTCAATTAATATTCAAGGTTGGGTAAATTAATTTTTTAAAACTAAATTTAAATTATTAGTTTATAAAATAAAATTATTAGTTTATAAAATAAACTTAATTAAGTTAAAAGTTACATAAGAAAGAATTAAATTAAATGTTGAGTTAAAATTGATTTATTAAAGTTAAAAATTAATTATGCAAAAAAACATGATTTTTGCACAATTAATTTTTAAATTGTAGATTAAATTTATGTAAAATAACGAAGTCTTTTAAAAGAAAAAACTATTTTGTGCTGAGGATTCTATATAAGAATACTGGTGCTCAAAGACAAAAAAATTCTACTCACATTACCTTTGACTTTTTATATTCTATATCATAAACAATCTGTAATGGCTTTAATATTAATGAATTGTTTTAACTCATAAAGAAATCAGTTGAAGTTTACATATCTTAAAATAATTAGTTTAAATTGAATCATATTTAAAATTAATAGTTATTAGCTTTTTAACTTCATTAATAATTTCAATATTGATAGCTTATGACTTAAAATTGTTTTAAATTATATAAAAAATGATAGAAGATATGATAAAGTTCAAACAAATGTATCTTAGAATAACTAATTACTTATTTAAAATTAATCACACTAAAAATTTTTAAGTTAACTTATTAACTTTCTTATCGTTAACTCAAGTAAAAATTAATTTTTTAAGTTAACTTCTGTTTGTTAACTTCTTAATTTAACTTTTAACTGATTAACTAGTTGTTACCCAACCCTGTCGATCTTTTTATTCGAAATCGACGTTACTTTTAACTTCCGGCGATGTCGTGTCGTTATCGTATCTCTGTACTATGTTTACAAATTTCTCCATCTTGACTTTGCTAATATTTTTGTACGGTAGAAAGTTTAACATAAATCTTGTCTTAACAATGTCACTGGCGCTGAAATAAGAACACTATTTACAAAGCGATCTGTGTTGAGAATTTATGTCTAATATTCTATTAACTATTTACTCCTTCATCTCGGGCGATTCACTGTAAATTGAAGGAATATCAGACGCCTTGACGCTGATGTCTATCCCTTGATCGCCGGATTTCTCAGGTATCAAATACGATTCTTTTTTGGGTCGTGTCCATGTGATCTTGTAGTCCTCTAGAGTAGTAGCGTACTGTCTTCTCGAAAGATTACTGCCACACTTTAATAAATTCGCGGTTATCCTCGTTGTCTGTTTGTAGTTTTTCAGTATTATGCTCGTCATTTCTGTTTAGTTATCAAATTCCTTACTTAACCTATCAATTGTTACTATTATTCGCTTGTGTCAAATAGTCGCTAAAACCTCGGGAAAGGCTAGTGGCACGGTGACAGTGTCACCAAATTAGGAACAAAAACTATTATTCACTCTCTCTCTCTTTCTCTCTCTCTATGATTTCAAGCACAGATTTCTATATACTAGACTGCTAACTCCTTCTTTCCTTCCAATATATGGCTTCCGGCAACTAAACGCCTCAACACCATTACCCAAGACTGCTAACTCCGACTTAGTACATAACCCGAAAAATATGTTGTGTTGTAGGGTGCGTTCGTCTTGTACACTTTTTTGCTTATAGCGTTAATGGCTCCTGCACACAGGACGCGGTAATGCTGATATGCTGATAGCTAATATGCTGATTTCCATAATAATCTTCTAGCTCTTACGGAAAAACAACATATTGATTGGCTGTCGCGCGGACTTCCGCTGCGCGGCAAGCATTATCGCGTCCTGTGTGCAGGAGCCATTAGGCGAGTTTCCCTAAAAGTGGAGGGAATAATGTTGATACCAAGTAAAATTTCTACACGATATAATTTAAAGATCAAGGTATCTATTATGAACTTCTTCGGAATTAATTTTGATCGAAATAATTCCGTTTCCCTTAGAAAAGACAATAGAAATCTACGAAATAACTGAATGTTTCCGTTCAGAATTGATTCCGAAGAAGTCCATAATAGGTACCCAGGGCCCCTATTCTTGAAATAATTGCGTATACATAAGTTTTACTGCGCAGCTTTAATCATACCATAAAATAGCTGCGCAATGAAAATTACATATACGCAAAAATTTCAAGAATATGGGCCCTGTTTTTTGTAACTGCACACTGTTGAACTAATGCAAAAGGTTAGAGTGAGAAAACGTATACTTGCCTCACTTCAATTTATTGCATCAGTTCAACAGTGCAGTTACAAAGAACAAGGCAGCGATCATGAAACTCTCTTTTTCACTTTTCATTTTTCACTGGAAGTAAGTTACTATAAGTAAAAAGTGAAACGTGAAAAGTAAATAAGTGAAGAGTAATATTTCAATTATATACATTATTAATAAATATATTTATAATATACTTATGTAAATATACTTATAATATATAAAATATAATGTAATAAACTAATAAACATAAAGTAACTAAAATTATAGTTGTAATGTAATATAATACTATATAATATAATACTAATGTAATATAATACTATATAATGTAAATTGTAATGTAATATAATACTATATAATGTAAATAAATACATTGAATGATATAAAGGTTAACCGTCTACTGTGAATTCTCAAAACGTAAAATATTTCACGTGAACTTTTCGTTCGTTCGTATATATCCTTCTTACATGGAAATAGTCTAAGGCCGGTATTCATAGTCAAATCTTATATTTGAGATTACTTAAGTTCATCTTTAGATATTCTGTAGCCAATGAAATAACCCGTACATCATCTGAAGATAAACTTAAGCGGTCTTAAATATAAGATCCGACTATGAATATCGGCCTATGTAAACATGAAACTTTTCAACCATCGCACGATGTGATTAAAATGTGAAAATGCAATATAATTTCTTCTAAGAACTTTAATCTCACTGAGTTGTGCAATTGATAGAAACGGAACAACGATGACAGCTATTATTAGGGTAAACGGTAAAATTAATATATTTGTATTATTATTAAGATTATTATTAAGGTATTATTAACGTTATTATTATTAAGGCTATTATTAAGGTAACGGCAAAATTTATATATTTGTTAAATTATTATTATTATTATTATTATTTGTTAAATGCAAGTAAGTAAAAATATTTATTATATTTGTAAGATTTTTATGTGAATCCTACCAAACTAATTTTTGTCACATTTTATTTAAAATAAAAATATGTTATTATATTGGGAGTACAAATTAGTTCGGTCCGTTTTCAAAAGATGGCTCTAGCTGTTATGAATGTTTCATAATGACAGCTGATTTCGGTGGTTTCAGAGAGGTTAGACATCTATCAATAATATTCAGTTTATATCGCTTTGAGTTTCATACAAAACCCCTCTCGTATCTCACTCTGTCTTTTCTCTTTCTTTTTCCAATTACAATTTTAAATTTCTTTTTTGAAAATGTTAAATTAAATGTTTTTAAAAAAAGAAAGAATAATGCTGCTTATTTATCGAGGATTTGGAAACCGCATTAGATCATATCAATAAGTAGCTAATCTATTCAATGCTGCATATCCTGATTGCAATTTTATTTCTAAATCCACCGTTCAGAAGACAGTGATACGTTTTTACGAAACAGAACAGTTAAAGACCAAAATCCTTTCAAGCCTCATAACTCTAAATATGCCTAATAAAAAAATACTTTATTATAGGTTTTTGGAAAGCCCTTGAAATAAGCTGCAAGAATATGTAATAAAAAGTGGGAGGTCCAATTAAAAAAATTCAATTTGATCATCGCCCTTTGACCATCGGTTACGCGAGCAACCGATATCGATAGTAGAATGGAGAGCGCGCGCAAGTTCGAGAGCACAAAGAGCGCAGGATCGGAAACGAGACCGATTCGGGAAACATCGAGAAGCTTCTAGAAGATCCGGAAGAAAAAGCTAAAAAAGCGATTCGAGACGAGAGGACACACACTCTCACGAGAATCGTCGAAAAGTCGAATAAGAGTCGGAAGAGTCGTTAGATAATTGGCGGTATTTCGGTACGAAATTATAGTGTAAGTCGCAAGAAACGCTTTGTATAATTGCAGAACATAATAAATGTTTGGTGATTTGTCCAGAGACAGTGGGATTCTCTCTTTATTAATATTCCCTGAAAGTCCTTAGTCCGGCAGTTCGAACCGTTGAAGGTCGTCGGGACGGTTAGGAATATTTACAACAAGAGAGGAAATCGGGTAGAAATTTTAACAAAGAGAATTAGTGGTAGATAAAACTAAGGAATTTTTCTTACACTATAGTGAAACTAACTCAACTCGACCCAACTCTGGGTATTTCGGAAGTATCCATAATCGCTGCCCTGAACAAGGTTCCCCAGAGTCGGCAGCATTTAGAGGTCCAGGAGGTGCCGATCCACGTAAGCCACAAGAGCGTCATCCAGGGATACAGAGAGCAACCGCACGGTGAACGACCACTGGTAAGTTATTATCTATATTATTTCTATACGCGCGAAACTACGATTAACGCCTGCGACTGTCCGACCCACCGTAAGGTTATACTACGGTGGTTATACTACGCGTCTTGCGCGAAATCCATCGCGATTACCCTTAATCTCACGGATCCCCGGATAGAATTATGCGATTCGTTTAACCCGAAAAATTGCGAACTGATCCCGTGCTAGGGTTCGAGCGCTATTCTTCACGGCAGCGTGGTCGCAACCCGCTGGGACGTAACATTTTAGATAGCATGATGAATTCTTTAAGTATTCTTAAAGTTTTCTCATTTCCTGAATTGTACTTTCTTAGGAATTCGTGGAAGAATACTATAAGAATGATTTAGGAAGTTACATGCACACCATGATTAGAGTTCCTCAGAACTTCTTAGAGTATTCATGTAGAATTACTTCAACTCAAAAAGATTTCTTCGGATTTAATAAATTTTATTGTATCCACATGAAAGAAAAATTAAAAACTTTCGCCGGGGGTGCTGCTTACTCTTGTGTGTATCTGTAGATGTCCACTTTTAATGCCATATGAGATGAAAAACATCAGACTTGGCTGGGATCG